CACACACCTGAAGTGACTAGCCAATCGCTCTACTTTCTCAGGAAGAATGAGACCTCCCCTGTTGCTCCCTCCTGCTTCTGCTTCCTCCAGGTCCCCTGCTTCCCCACTTACCAACATGGCTTTGTTTCCCATCTTTGAATCCAGTTTAAAGCCCTCCTTACTAGGTTAGCAAACCTGTCTGTAAAGATGCTCTTGCCTCTCCTCACTAGGTGGATCCTGTCTCTTGCTAGCAATCCTTCTTCTTGGAACTACATCCCATAGTTGAGGAAGCTGAATCACTGCTGGTGACACCACCTACACAGCTATGCATTGATCTGCAGGATCGCTCCCACCAAGGCCTTCCCCCTTGACCAGAAGGATAAGGAGAACACCACCCATGCCCCCATCCCCTTTATCCTTGCACCCAGAGCACTGTAGTCACTCTTGATCTGCTCAGGGTCACCCCTGGCAGTATCACTGCTGCCCAAATGGATGAGCAGCATGGGTTAGTAGTCAGAGGGTAGGACAAGTCTCGATAATCCTTCTATGACATCTTGGATCCAGGTTCCAGGCAAGCAGCAGACCTCCCAGGACAACAGGTCATGCCAGCAGCTGGATTCATCCATCCCCCACAGAAGGGAGTCTCCAACCATCACCATCCATCACTTCCTCTTTGTGGCAGTGGTCTCAATCCTCCCCACCCTGGGGATTCCTTGTCTGGCCTCTTTCACCAATGGAATGCATTCCTCCTCTGTTGCCAGTGCTCCATATCTTTTCTCCAGGCAAACCACTGCACGTAAAGATGATCACTGATGGTGGAGAGGGGCAGGCCACCTGATAGGTAGTGGCAAGTGGCAGAGGCAGTAGCCATCTTGCCTGCTCACCTTCATGTCAGCAGCAGCAGATCACCTGATTTTGCAATTTCTATGAAATCCACTCAGTCATGATTTGAGTAGGTTCCTAAGTAACCACAAATAAAAGGAGTGATGCTCAAGAGGTATGGAACTGTGTCTGTATAGGTGACACATTGTGGGGCATGTAGGGGCACATGTCCCCCCAGATTTCTGTACCAACAATGGGGCACAGGGCACAGAGCTGCAGCCTGGCCAGAGTCAGGGCCTGGCAGCAATGGAAGTGGCAGTGGTGGTGGTAGTGGAAGCAGTGCAATTTCTGCACCAGTGGTGGGGCATGGGGCTGCAGCCAGCTGGACTCAACATCTGGCAGCAGTGGGATGACAGTGCAGAGTTGTGTTCCCCCACTGTCAGCACTTGTGGGTCACCTATGTGTGGCTGCAAGGTGGGTGGCAGTTCACTCAGTGCAAACACAGTATAGGTGTCCAGATGTTAGGGCAAGTTCTGCTTGATTGTCATTAGCTTTAATACATTGCAAATGTTTAAAAGTAAAATGTTGACAAACAACTTTTCTTGCAAACTTAATCAGCAGAAATATTTTAATAATGCCCTGAGTTATCAAGAATATTAAAAAAGCTCAGCAAAATGCATCAAATATTTTGCAAGAAACCAAAACAGCTTTGTTTGGTAACAGCAGAGATAGGGTGTTATCCAATTCATGAGCGGGTCAGAGGAAATCATTCTCAGGATTTAATGACTATTTTTGGTAATTTCTTTTCCATGGTATTGTAAACACACTTGAGCCACTTGAGTTTCCCACAGAAGGAGAAGCTCAACAGTTTCTGAAAAAAAGTTGGATCCCAAGCCAACCCCCATTTCAAAGCATAGTGACCAATGAGCATTCAACAATGAATCACTCAATTCTACTTCACTTTTTTATCCCACTGACTATTAATAGTATTGCAAGAATAAGAAATGAAGTGTTCATATCACAGATAAAGAGTTCCTATTTTTAGATATGCTCTTTTGCCTAGACCACAAAGTTGCTTGTATCAGTAAATGTAACTATTTGATAGGTGCTTGTATAAGTGTTTCTATTCACAGAACTACTCACCTAAGTAATGATTCAAAATGTGAATCTTCTACCTATAATCTTTTATGTATACTTTTACAGTACTATGTATATTTATAATGTTTCATGGAGTAAAATCACTATTCTAATATTATAAAAGCCTAAGTCTATCTGTCCATAATGCTTTACTCATGCTCTGATTGGATGACAAACAGCCAATCAGAGTGTGAACAAACATTCCAACAGGAGCTAGCAGCCAGTGGAGTGCTACCATGATGGTGGGGACACAGGGGACAGAGGGGAGGAAGAGGTGCTGGCCTTGCCCTCCCCCCCCACTCCCTGGAGGTGGGGGCAATAGAGTCGATGGGACAGGGGGGCGAGGCCAGGATTGCTGGCCTTGTCCCCCCTGCCCTGCTGTCTGCAGGTGGCAAGGATGGAGGGGGGGGCAAGGCCACCAGAGCTTGTAGGTGATGGCGGTGGCAGCTTAGGGCAGGGTGGGGTTGGGATGCCACAGGTGGGGGGCCAGGCCATGGCTCTGGTCTTGGCCCATCTCTCTACCCTTCCATCATCGCCATCTGCAGGGACAACACGGCAGTGGTGGGGGGAGGAGCGGGCCCAATGTGGGTTGGGAGAATAGCAGTCACACTACAGTGGTGGGGGTGGTGGAAGGGGAAGGGTGGGCCCAGGCTCCACGTGGTGGGGGGAAGAGGACCCCTTGGGCCTGGACCCACTCCTCTCCCACTCCCCTTCCTCGACCCATCAGCTCCGAGCCCACTCCTCCTGTTCTTCTTGTTCTCCCAACACTGCCAGGTTGGCCCCAGGCCTGCTGCTGCCCCTGCCACAGTGGGCTGGCTTCTTCCCACCCTTGGGCCTAGTCCTCCCCCATGTTGGGCCTGTGCGGCAGGCCAGGAGTGTGTGCTTCTGTACTAAGCCACCCACCTCACTGTGCAAATGTCTCTCTGGGGGCGCCTCATGTCTGTCCGACCCCCTTCCTGGAGCACACCCGCTAGCCTGGGGGTAGGGCTGCCACCACCCAGGGTCTGGTCTGATCCTGGCTTTGTGTCCCCCGGGAAACACAGACCTAGTTGTCCTTGAGAGTACTTGACCCACTTCAAGAACAAGTACAAATAGTAGTCTCCCTTAGTCAGCCAAACCAAAGGGACCTTAAGGCATAATCTAGACCCACTCCCAATAAGTCTCCCATGCTAGGTTCAAAGGAGAACTTTATTGGTTACAAGGGGTAGGTTTGGAATAGGATACTGGGTTGAGCAGTATCAGAGAAATCCCATACAGCAAACAGGGTGGCTGGGATAGCCTTTGATCATGCATCTGAGTTACTGCAAGCTATATATCTAGTTAGATCTCAGGTAGCTTACTCACAAGTATCATTCAGAGGCAGGTGGGGATTCCCATTGGAGGCAGGCAGTTCATTGATCATGAGTTTCAAGAGAGAGAGAAAGTTTCAGATGGTCTAGCTCTTCTCTCTCTGAGTTTTCATCATGGCTACTGCTGCCCTCCTCCTGGGCAGACCTTAACTTATATAGACCTTGTGATCTCATTTACCGGTCCAATGGAAGCCAGCACCTGTTGACTGCCAGCCAACCAATTTGAAATGCATCACTGGTTGCTGGGCAGACTGGCAGAGTCTCTAGCCCCCTCCCAATCAGGTTGGCATTGCTTAACAATAGGGATTGTAAGCCCCTCACCCAGGTATGCGATGCCAGTCATGTAGGCAGAGTAAGCAGGTTCCCCCCCTCCCTCAGGAATGTATCTAACTCGGGTTACCTAAAGAGATAGGGTAGGGTGTGTACCCTCTGCAAGGCCCATACTAACCAAATTGTCACAGAGCAGAGTTTTTGGTTGGCACTCATTTTCCACATCAATAGCAAGACAGATACCTTGAAAAACTGTTCCGGAGAGAGCTGCATAATCCAGCTGTATTGGGGCACCACTCAATACCCAATGAAGTCAAGGGGAGTCTTTCTATTAATATCAGTAGGAGTTGAATCAGACGCTACATTCCTTTTCCTTCATTTCATGCAGATGATCACTCCTAATTAGAAACACAATGGAACCATATCACTAGCTAGAGCACCAGATACTGCTCCTAATCTGGAGGAAAGGGACAGATGGTTCTCACTAGCTAAAGAACCATCTGTCCTCTTCCACCAGATTAGGAGTACCATTATAAAAATGTGCCTCCAAAAAGAGACTAGGAGCCAAAATTTGACCCGATACAGACAGTTGAACAAAAATTAATTATTTTCAGTGGACTTCCATGGAATTTGATGAGACTAGACATTGGCTTAGGACCCCAGAGATATGGTTTATGCCAGATTTTGCTCTCATTGCTCATTGAGATCTAGAAGGTTGTACTAATATAAATGAAGATAGAACATGGCTCCTTAGTCTTTCAGAAAAACTCCTGAGTTCCCACTGTATTTGTGGTAAAAGACATCAAGATTTACCATAATCTCCTATTTCTACATAGAGAAAAGATCCAGATTCTCATCTCAGTTAAATCTGAAAAAATCTTATTGACTAGAGCAGATTTACACTGGATTTTTGGTAGTTTAGCATGACTGACATTGGGAATTGGACCTGAAAACTGAAAGAGATGTTTTTAGGTAAAATGAAGTGTAGCTGGTTTCAGTCGCACAATACTAACGTTCCACTAATCACGTCCTCTGTCTCAAACAGTACAAGTAACCTATCTGCCAAACAACTGTTGAAATGTGTCTTGACAGCAACAGGGAACTTTGGGGAAGCTGAAATAAGATGAGATTGTATAGTAACTGAATTAATTGACCAAGGTTGAGAAAGCTAACTTCCCTGTGCCCCTGTGGTTTTAGTACCTGCATAGCATGAAAGGAGAGAGATCCAAAGCTGGCTCCTTGCTTTGTTGATATGACCTCACCTGAAGTGTCAACAAAAAGACTTGGTTAACATTTCTTTGTTAACATTTCAGAATAATGACACTATAACAGTATTACAATAATTAGCTAACCTACATATGAGTCATGTAGATGATTACCACATGCAACAATAAGGGCCTATATAAGCACTACAGCAAAGATCATTAGATATGAACAGCCAAAGAATTTCTTTGTTAGCAAAGATACTTTGGTAACACACTATGAAATTCATTTTACTCTGCACTGTACTTTTTCTACTTAGCAGCCTTGTTCTTCCAATACCACTTAAACCAGCACCATGGAGCTCCAGAACCTTATCACAGATGAAGGTATGTTATAAATGGGGCTGAGTAGTGCAACTTGAATATCCTAATATTTTACTTTCAGTCTACATCCTAATCATTATTTCTTTTCAGAAAATGTATGGCTTCATTTTATTTTCATTTGTATAGGACTTTAGATATTACAGGTTTGTTTCCGAAAATTGGTAGAGATAGGGTAAATTTTTCAAAAGTAGCTGAAGTAAGATTTTCAAAAGAGATACAGGCCCGTATTTCTGTTATGCACAAGAAGAAAGAAGATAATTCTTTTAGTGGAACTTTAAAAAGCATCTACTATAAGAACAATTTCAAATAATCCAATACATGGGGTCTCTAAAACCAAAGGGCCAAATTCATCCATAAAGTAATTTAATTGATTTTAGGTAGCCTTCTGTCCAATACAGATCTATAATATTTCAATAAGATTAAAATAGTATTTTAATAACAACAGGCTGAACTCATCTAGTCATAGCTGTACCCAAGTGTCACAGTTCTGTAAGGAGGAGCAAATCTTTATAAGTATCATATTGGTTTAGAAGTCTTTAGAATCCAATGTCCAACGAAGTCCTGTAAAAGTAAACAGGAGGACCACTTGCACAGGCGGTGCCTAGCTATTACTGGATAGATAGATAGATAGATAGATAGATAGATATGCATATATTATGGAGCATGGCAGGGTATTTAAAAGCACTTGGTGAAATAAGAGTTAGATATAAAGATAAATTATAATTATTCATGAGTTAGACATTTATGACAAATATTAGAAAACTTTTAATTTTACCTATATCAGCTTTATTTGGTATAAAACAAGCACCAAAAATATACTTAATTAATAGACTCACCATTCCCTTGAACTCTCTCCTGTTTCCTCCTATTACTACACCTGTTGTCAAACTAATGCTGCTTTGCATTTGGGGAATCTCAAAATTCTCTGGAGAGTCCATAAATCCAAGGCCAAGATTATAAAGTCCTTCTATTTTTTAAAATAAAATGTAGCTTCTTTATATCTTGCTAACAGTCTATAATTTATTCACTGGGAACATATTGGCAAATGACATCTTCTATTTATAAAGTGTCATAAGAGTAATTTATTATGCCAAACTATACATTTCCAGTTCTAAGAAATACAGATAGATGCCTGGTTTATTAATGCTCTTTTATATTAATCTGGTAGAATAAAAGGATTTCAAGTTAGGTACAAATGTCTGTTAATTTTAATGCTAGATTATAATAAAGGGTCTTTAGTGTAAAAAAAGAATCAGGTTCCTAAAACTCCACAAGTAATAATTAATGTATTCATTACCTATATATCTCATAAAAGAAAGCAGAATAGAATTCCAAAGTTTACTTATCTAAAGTAAGATTAAAACTGTAGACACAAGCGTAAGTGATTTTATGGATCAAAAAAGCTGAAATTAAAAAAAAATAATTATTTGGATTAACTTGAAATGATGTTTGCTTTCCTATAAAATGGATGTGTCTACATGTGATGCTATGTCACTGTAGCATCCACGGGCAAAAACTGTGATGCCGCAACTACGTTACCGTAGCAATGTGCTCTTTCATTATAGCGCACTGCTACAGTGACATAGCAGCTAAAAATAACCATGCATGGCTGGCATGTTTTAGCACGGGCTGTTATTGCACTGTCATTTAGTACTTTCAGAAGGAAGTACTAAATGATGGTGCAGTAACAACGGTGCTGTATGGCCACATGTAGATGTGCCCAGTGGAAAAAAAAATCAATCTTGAAGCAAAAGCAATATTTCATTAACAAAAAGAGATATTTTGATTCTGAGGGGAGGGCTCTTTCTAAAATTAAATGTAGGTAAAATGTGATATAAAATACTATTTAGAAACTAATATTTAAAATATTTCATCTTGGAGATATTAAATATTAATTTTAGCCTGTATTTTTCCCAAATAAATAAAATGTTCTGCAGAAATATTTCAGCCCTTCATCTATTAAACATATAATTATCAAAATAGAATATAAGTGAATATTTTAACACCAAGATGATTTCAGAATATTTTTATTTTCTTCCTCTACATCTTCATTTTGTTATTAGAAAAGTACTATCTATGAAATCACTTCCTCTTTTAGGATACTTAGCTGTTGGTTTGTATGCCAACTGAAAAAAACATATGTGGTAAGAGTATCTTTTATATTTGGATATCGTTTTCTGGAGTATATCATTTTTTGGAGAGCACATCTACAAGCTAGTTCTTTTTCTAGTACTTTAATCAAATGGTCTCAATTTATTTTCCATGCATATTCTTTACCATTTTAAAACTTGATTCTGCAGAGTGCTGGCCCACTGAAACCCATATCACAAATAATAAGAGTTGAGAGGAACGAGCACCACTTGAAATGATCCTATACTTGCTGATCACATGACTCTTCATGTGTAACTATCACCCAAAAGCACAACTTCAGTATGTGGCATATACAATGTAATGGAGGTGCATACAAATGTTTCTTTTCAATTTTTTCCTAGAATTATCTTGACAGGTTCTTTCCACCCTCTAATAAAGCAGGAGGCCAGACTTTAGAAGGGAGAATTAAAACAATGCAAAGATTTTTCCATCTGACTGCAACAGGAAAATTAAATTCAGAAACAGAAGAAGTGATGAATCAGCCAAGATGTGGTGTCCCGGATGTAATGGATTTCACAACATTTCCTGGAAATCCAAGATGGAAGAAGACGTATTTAACTTACAGGTTTGTTCTATTTCAGCATTTTTTTTAAATTATTTTTTCCATACCTTAAAAAACAGTATTTTGTTTCTTTTTCTTACCTATAGGTTTATCAATTATACACCTGATCTCCCCCGTTTTGTAGTGAATGAAATAATTAAAAAGGCTTTTAAGGTCTGGAGTGACGTAACTCCATTGACGTTCCAACAAGTTTTCTCAGGAGACGCAGATATCCTGATTCGTTTTGCAAGATATGGTGAGGCTGCCTCTGGTTTTCTATAAATTTGATTAAATATGCTTTACCTAACATTTGCAAGAACAATCTGGTTAGACTATATGTCTTCTTCAATCTAAGTGGTTTGGGAAAGTTTTGTCTAAAATTTTCTACTTACTGCAGTGACTGCACTGCACTTTAGTACTTCCAAAAGGAAGTACTAAAACATGGTGCTTTAGCAACATTGCCATACAGTGATGTGTAGATGCACCCAGTGTGCAGTAGCTTACTGCACAGTAAATCTAGGCTGGAGTAAATGCATGTGTAGACATGCCCAAGGAAACTGAATCAATGTTGCACAGGGAACTCAACCTGTGGTTTGACTTTTGTAGCCATAAGTGTCTTCCAACCAGGATTGGTGTTTGGTTCTTTTATGTAGTATAACTTTACAATTAATAAAAGAAAACACTAAAATTCAAGGTGTGGAATTTACTGTTTAAAATGCAACATTTTAACAACTAATTATTTTTGCTTGTCTTCAAATGTAGCTCATGGTGATTCTAATCCCTTTGATGGAAATGGGGGAATACTAGCTCATGCCTTTGCACCTGGATCAGGGATAGGAGGAGATGCTCACTTTGATGAGGATGAGCAATGGTCAGAATATAATAGAGGTAAAATCACAAGCTTCTTAATGAAAGACCTAGGAATACTTTCAACAACTATGCCTGCATTTTCATAGGACCCTAGAAAAGCAGAAGGGAGCTTTGAAGGTCTTCTAGTTCAACCTCTTGGTAAAGGCAGGTTCATCCCTATCCAAACCACCTTATACAACTCTATTGTTTAACTTAATGGTAAAACTACACAATCAAGTTTACCACAACCACAAAGCATACCACCCTAAACTGCCACAGGTAAAGCAGGGGGACCACAGGAGTCAATGTCCTGCTGCTGCAACGTTATTAAAATATGCTTAAGAGATCCAAGGAAGTAGGCCATGCCCCCCACCATGGAGGTGTATGTTTCTGTAACTGGAATATCCACATGTGTCTCTACCTACCTACCTTAGCAGGCATACCATGCCTGGGTTTCAAGAAGCTCAAAGCACTTTTCAAAGGTGTGACAGGGCACTGTTGGTGCCTGCCACTTTAAAGGTTGAGCCAAACAGCCAGCAGGTGCTTGATTATGGCAGCCATTTTAGAACTCTGGCTGCCCATATAAACAGAGCAGTTTACTGCCGGCAGACCAGGCAGAAACAGTGCCTGGCTGTGAGGCTGTATGCAACATGTTGGAGGTAAGGGCAGGAGCTTAAGGGGATGGTTTGGAGACTCCTGGTCCTGGGCACAACCTAAAACTGCACCCTACCAGGGATGGGTGGCCTGGTGGGGCACCTAGTGCTGTAGGAGCCCCCAGAAAATACCAGGCCAATTACCACCCTAGTGAAAGGCAGGTTGGGGTGCCTTAATAACCCCAGTTCCCACACCAGGTGGGTTACCCCATAGTAGGGCCAAGAAAGTGGACACAGGTTAGAAAGTGGGCTAGAGGCTCAGAAGCCTGACTTGAAACACCCTCAACTGGTCAATGCTGGGGCCAGAACCAGAAGGGTCAAAAAGGTCAGGGGCCCACCATGAGGGATGCCCAGAGCTAAGGGCCTGGGGTTCCAACTGGCCTTGGAGGTGAGGCCAGGGCCTGTGTGGCTAAAGGTCCTGGGGGTGGGCCATGCCCGAGAGGGAGAAGAGGTCAGGGAGCTAGGCAGCCCAGAATGAGGGCGGAGTAGGCGGCCTGATTGGAGGGATCCAGTTGGGGTCTGGACTGGAGGATTCTGGGGCCCAGTGTGGGGCCATTGACATTAAGAACTGTGGATGCCATCTGTGAGGCTTAGGCTGAGGTGTAGGGAGGAACAAAGCAGCAGATATGCTCCCTGGCATTGGGGCAAGAATGGGCAGGCTCCCGCCTAACTAACATCAAAATTATGTATCATTAAGGTGTGGCAGGCGAGGAGGCAGATGGTTGGCCTAGAAACAGGTGGGCGGGCCAATGACAGACTGACCCCAAGAAACCTTTTGTAACAGGGGGCTAAGCAAGTAATCTTGTTTTCATTTTGTAGAAGAGATCCAGAAAGATTTGAATGGTTCACCCATAGACAAAAGGGGTGTGTCCAGATTAGTGCACATGTTCAGGGGTCTGCATTTTCCATGGCACAAATAGCAGAGACACATATTTGGGCCACTGCTTTTTGTCCTTGGGCACGCCCATGCACATGCAATCCAGTACGCAGCAAATTGACCCAGGTGAGGTAGGGAAGGCTGAGGCCAGCACCTGGCCTCAGCAGCCTTACTGGAGTCCTGGAGGCCTTCTGGGGCAGCAGCATTACTGATCTGGCCACATAGGGCCTGGCCAGCAGCCAGAGTGTGGTTCTGGTAAGCCAGGCTCTGTTTTTGGCAGCGCATGCTGCTGCCCCATGTGCCATGCAGTTTTTGTTAACGATGGTTTTTTTTTGACACTAGGATCTCCTGGTGTCAAATTTTGGCACCATGCTGCAAATTAGCAGTGCAGCAAACAGTTGCATGTGTGCTTCATGCAGTTTGCGGCATCTCAGACAGCTTTGAGGTGCCACAAACTGTACATGCTAGCTCATCTGGACATGCCCAAGGGGAGCAGGCTGGGGATAGACTTCTTGTGTCCTAGCTCCTATGCCTGGGTTCTGCAATATTCTTACTAAAATATGTGGACACAATAAATAGGAGAATTTACTAAAAAATTAAGTGGAAGTGAAATAAAAGTTAAATTAAACAAATGTGAAATTCCACAGGACTTTATCCTAGAGATAAGAAGGATGCAAATTCATCCTGCCTCTGATGTTTAGTTTGGTTGTATGCTGAAAATAATCTATCATGTGTTTAACATGTTTTTTTTTTCTTTTTCTTTATATTGTAGGAGTGAATTTGTTCCTTGTTGCTGCTCATGAGTTTGGTCATTCTTTGGGACTGGGTCATACAAATGTTCGGGGTGCTCTCATGTTCCCTACATACTCTTTTATAAACCCAGAAGCCTTCAGCCTTTCATATGATGACAAACAAGGAATTCAGAGTTTATATGGTAATGTCAGTGTGACATGTTAATATCAATACAAAAACATTCCTCAACAAAGAAACAGATGTTTGCCATTCTTAAGGAAAGTAATACTCTCCTTAGCAAGCTGACCCACTGATTTCAGTAGCCTTTTCTCATAAGTTACTACTTAGAGTGAGTGAGCTTGTCAAACTTAGACCAGGGCAAAATTTATATACTGTATACTCTACAACATAGCCTTTCTGGGCCCTGAGAAGGACACCTTCATACTGCAACCAAACAGTGGAGACCAGAGATTTAGGCAACTGGACTTTCAGCATACTTGCGCACTGTGATGCACTAAGGACCAAACTCTGCTAACCTTATATTGAGCTGTACCTTCTTTTGCAAACACTACATAGAAATCAGTAGAATTACCAAATAAATGAAATACTGCTCAGTATAGAGATGGCAGATGCTAGCCTATTGAAATCAATGGGACAGCTCATAGAAAAAAGTACTGTTTAATGCACACAAGCAGCAGCAGAACTAACTCTGAAACAGAGAAAATCTTGCCTACAGCCTTATATGGGGCCATTACCTTGCCTGAGGCACTTCAAAACAGAAAGATCAATAACAATGCAGGTTTCTCTGAATTTTGTCTCTTAATATTTCCATATTTCTATTCTACAGGACCCAAACGTGACAACTTTTAAAGAGCCAGCAGGTCTTTGAAAAAATGAACAAGTCACACGCTGGAGATGGCATTGTAACAGAAAAGTTTTGTTTCATGTTTTTGGTGAATTAGAATGGCAAAAACGCTGACATTTAGATTCTGCTGGTGCATTTTTACGAAGATTTATAATTTGTTTAAATTTGATACAATAAATTTGGAAAATAAAAACATAATCTCAATCCTGCATTCCTTTCTGAGCTAAATTCTTTGGGTTGCATTCAGTGGTGGGCTAAGTGACTCCTGGTGATGGTGTGGACTGACTAGGCCCTGTGAGGAAGGAGTTAAAGAGAGCTGCTAGGATGGGCTGGGTTGGCCCTGCCCTGGCATACCTGCAGCCAATGCCATGCTTCTAGATTGGTATAAAAGCCTAGACAGGGGAGGACTCTCAGTGATGACTGAGCCTGGCTCCTGGTCAGATGTCCTCTGAGGAGTGAGCCCTTTGGATTCCCAGGTCAGTGTGTTGTTGTGTCCAATGACCCTACTATGGGTCTTGTACCAGGTATGGAGACTAAGACACTGTTGTCCTTAGCTATAAGCAAGTTTATTGAACCCTATCAGATATAACTCTAAATTAAAAATAAAGCATTCTCAGCAGTTATAATTTTAGAACTGTATCTAGCCAAAGCAGATGGTCACCACTCCAAGATATAGCAACTGCGACTTCACTGGTTGATCAGGCCATGAGGTCTTGCCCAGGGGCTCCTGACTCCCACATCTGATATCATGGTTCCAACAAATGGTTAACCTGTCTTCTTGAGCAAGCAAACTCAATGCTAATTTTCATGCTACACGATCAGGTAAATTTGTATGTAGTCAGCTCCAAGGTGTGTCCCAAAACTTCAAAGTGCTGAAGTAACTTGCGGAGTTGTGGACATTAGTTCCCATAAACTTCTACAATGGGTGCTCATTTTCCTAAAAATTCTTACAGGAAATACAACACTGATTAGTCACCCTTCCAGGCCTTTAACTGGAAGGAATGAAACCACTTTTTCCATACTTCTCCAGTACTCTTTTTTAGAATTTCCAATTGATAAACTGTAGGACTGGCCTTATTAACAATATATACCAGACACTCCCATTTTGCAATTAATACATGATCTTGTTCCGAAAAACACCAATACATGACTTTGTCTCCAATATTCTGTTCTATAGGATTTCTAACTCAGCCTAATTGTTTGTCCATTTCATAAATGTTTTGCCTTAATTGAATAGCAACAGCTCGGTGGATATCATGTAATTGTTGCGTTAATTTTAAAGCCCATTGATCTGTGACTGAGTTCAACTCCAATCCCCCAGACAGGTCAAGGCCAAACCACCATTGTTCTAGGGTACACATTTTTACTTCCAGTCAACACCTCAAAGGGTGTATACCTATGTGAGGTTTTTGTACTCCTTAGGGCCATCAAGATAATGGGAAGCTTTTGATCCCAATCCTTATCTGAGGCCTTAACAACCTTATGAAAAGAATCCTTTAGAGTCTGACTGGACCACTCAGCCTGTCGTGAGGACTGAGGATATCCAGAAACATGAAGTCTTTGTTTAATTCCTAATATTTTACAAAGTTCTTGCATAACTTTTCCCATAAAATGGGAACACTGATCTGAACCAATTTCTTAGGGAGTCCTCATTGGGAGAAAAGTATATTAAACAATTGAATAGCCATAACCTGTGCAGTATCAGTTTTGGTTGGAATTGCTTCCATCCATTTCGTGAATGGCTCAGTAAAAACAATGCAATACAGGAGACCCTCACCATTCATGGGGGATATGTTCTCGTATTCCCCACAAATGGCATAATCCACGAATAAGGCACTGCATTCATGAACACCATCTGCGTTCATGAACATGGTGCCCCTGGCAGATGGGAGTGTGGGGCATGGCTGTGCTGGTGGTGGTGGGAGCACAGCGGCAGCAGCAGGAGCCCAGCAGCAGCAAGTGCGAGGCTCCCGAGGAGCTCCTTTAAGTGTATTTAAGATGTGGATTCGGCATTTGCGAATATTTGAAACTGCGAATGCTGAACCAGTGAATAGAGAGGGTTTCCTGTACTTGTTCCCCCTACCCATTATGGCAAAGGCCCAATATAATCAATCTGAATCTTAGCCCAAGGCCCCTCAGTTCATTAATGTGTGGTAGGGCCCTTTTGAATTTGGGAGTCTGCATTTAACAAAGCACATGGCAAGCAGTTATTACACCAACTTTGCACTTACCATGCCATTTCTTTAATTTTATTTAAGTTGTTTTTATATCCCAGATGATGCTCTTCAAGTGCAAATTGAATTAAATCTATTCTAACAGTTTTTGGAATCACCCACTTCCATTCTTTGTTCTCCTTGTGTTGTGCACAAATTACTTCCCCATGTTCAAATATAATATATTTTTCTCTTTTGTCCTGACCTAAATCCCTTAGGTTTTGAATTTCTTCAGCCCCCTCCTGGAGGGTTGCCAAAGCAAGGGTTAAATTGGGTTCCTTTGCTTGGACTTGAGTAATGACTACACTAATCTGTTCTTCCTCTGATAAAGTTAATAAGGCCACATGCTTAGCCAAGCCATCAGCTTTATTGTTCCAGTAACCTTCTGGAGACTCCCCGCTCATATGTCACTCAGGTTTGCCCAGTCCTTTGTTTTATTAAGCCATATATTTCTTGCCTCTTATCAGTATGGACAACTGACCTTCAATCCCCAGTAGAAAAATTATGTGCTACTGAAATGAGCACCCAAGTTACCATAGCTGTAGTAACCCAGTCAGAATCAATAAAAATAGCTACATCTTGATCTAATTCTTCTTGTTGCAAAACCTTCAGAACAGCAGCTGAATGGGGATGAACAGTTTCCACAATTTCTTGGCCATCATTACTTGGACTGCCCCAAAACCTGTTTTTGCTTTTCCCTTCTGATAGTAGCTGGACCCATCTACAAACTTCACCTGTGTTTTCCTAAGTCCACTTCCTGAAAAGGTTTACCCCACTTTAGTAACCATTCAATATGTTGGTATTCTGATAATGGATATTCATGCCCCTCTCCTTCCACTATAAGGGGATGGAGCTAACCCTTTTTCCATTTTCCTTTTTAATTGTAATGCCTTTATTTATCAAGGCTAACATCCATTGGATAAATTTAGGACTCAAAATTATCCCATTCTGAAGTTTTACACATACAATATATTTTAAGGGGAATGAGTAGTTTGAACTACAATTTGACTCCTTCCAGTGATATATTCCTAATGTTGCACTGCCCAAATCAATGCCAGGCATTCTTTCTTATAAGGGGTGAAATTCTGCTCAGGAGAGCTGGAAGTCTTGGATGCAAAAGCAATCACCCTTAATTTTCCTTCTGGTTTTTGAAATAGAGTAGCCCCCATTGGCAGCTTCTCCAGTAGCCAACTGAATAACAAAAGGACTTCCCATGTGAGGGTAAGCCAAAGCAGGACCCTGACCCAAGTCATCCTTAAGGATTTTCAGGGCTTCTGTTTGTTCTGGGCCCTGTTTCCACTGATGCTTTTTCTTTTATAGTTTCCACAAAGGCTGGGACTTTTCAGCAAACATTTCAGTAAAGTCCCAAGAAAAATTTAAGGTACCCCAAAGGGCTCTCAGCCAGTGAGTATCAGGGCCTGGCAATTTCTGATTATTTCCACTCACTGTGCATCTGGACTTTGTCCGTGCTACCCTAGAACCATTCCCAGATACTTCACTTGCGCGTGTGCCCTTGGCTCCACCAATCCCACCAAGCGGAGCAGCAAGGAGTGAGGAGCCAGCAGCAGCAAAAAGGTAAGCTGGGCAGGGAGAGGGAAGGGAGAGCCAAGCTGGGCCAGCTGTAGGGAACTGGGAAGGGGTTTTCCTCCCCTCCCATTCCTACTTAGATGTGCTGGGCAGGAGCTGAGCTCCCGAGCTGGATGAACAGGCCAGGCAAACAGGCACACTCTTCAAGGGCACACTGAAGTTTGTACAGGAGTTCACACAGGAGGGAGAGCAGGAGAGGCCTGAGACTCCATGCTTCGGAGTCAGCGGCTTTGGATAGAGTTGTCAGAGTCATCAGGTGAGTGCACATGAGGGTCTTTAGTGGGGGTGGTGACTCGGAGTGCAGCCAGGGACCCTGCCCCAATGCTGCTTCCCACCCAGGGCTTCACTGAGGCCTCCACTCAGACGGAGCCATTGGGTGGGTCAGTGGCACCCGGGCCCCCTGTCTGCAGGGGTTGCCTGGAGGGCCCTCAAGGGCCCAGGGCTAGTGGGAGGGCCGGGACTCCCCTCACCTGTCCCACATGTGCCCAGATTGAGGCCCTGGAGGGGCAGGTGAGGAAACTCCATGCAGAGGTGAGCAGGCTGAGGGGTATCAGGGTGATGGAGGAGGAGATTGATGGGTACTTCCATTCTCTGGAGGTTCACATGCCTGGAGAGAAGGAGGCACAGGAGGGAGTCGACATGGCCGGATGACAGACAGTCACCTCGGGGACTAGACGTCATAAGGGTGACTCCCTCAGTGCAGCTGGAGAACAGATATGAGGCCCTGGCATCACTGGCAGAGAGTGCAGCAGTGGAGGCCACTCCCACAGCCACCACCCAGCAAGCTAAGATTGAACCATGCAGCTGGAGATTGAACCATGATGTTGGGTCATCGTGGTGGGTGACTCCCTCCTGAGAGGAACGGAGGGAGCCATCTGCCACCTGGATCCCATGGTGCGGGAGGTATGGTGCCTGCCTGGAGACTGGATTTGAGACATCACAACAAGGATTCCAGACCTGATTAGGCCCTCCAACTACTATCTCATGGTCCTCATTATGAATGAATGATACAGCCCAGAGTAGTCCAGGTGGGGTCATGAGTGACTACATGGTGCTAGGAACCAGGCTTAGAGGATCAGGGGTACAGGTGGTCTTCTCATCCATCCTACTAGTCAGCAGTCGAGAACAGCACCACAGCAATTGTGTTAGAGAGGTCAACTTACAGCTTCAGAACTGGTGCCATCATGTGGGGTTTGGATTCCTTGACCACAACCTGCACTTCCAGGATAAGACCTTGTCGTAAGAGATGGGCTACATCTCTCTCCAAGAGGTAAGAGTCTGTTCTCTTACAGGTTGGCTGATCTCCTACGCCGGGCTTTAAACTAGGCTCCTTGGGGGACGGGGATGTTGACAACAAGGAGAGGCCAGGAATGACGAACCTCAAGCCAGGTGCTGGAACAGTCCAGGTA